TTCAGTATTCCTGGTGATTTCTAAATACATCACAGGCTGAAAAATCTAACTACCACTAGGAGTTTAAAAAGGAACGTGTGGAGAGCTAAAATATTCTATCCCCCTACTCAAAATATGTCAATGCAGTTCTTCAAGGGGGTGGATAAAATATGATGTATTTAAAGAATATAGTCTGATCCAAGTCTCTGTAAGAACAGAATATACATAAATCTTCATGACAAGAGGAAGCTCAGGGACTTAATCTGCTGCTTACTAGGAGAGGTAAGAAGTCCATTTTCATTTATAAGAGTCTCCATTTCTTAGCATATTGTTTGGAAAGTTTTAAACAGGTGGTGTGTTTCCTCTCTAGGGTTGCTATTTGACATGAGGTAATTTTCTACATAGTGTTTTCAACTCGTGGCTTAAAAACACACATTTTAGAAAGAGTCTACCATAAAGTATGCAATGTCATCCCTGCTACGTTTGCTTCCCCCGGCTATAAAATTAAAGAATTTGTGTCCATTTTCAACTGATTTCCTCTCTGGAAGCTTTTTTTGCAAGAATGTGTTTTAAAAACATCACACTTTGAGATACATCTGCAATAACTATACAGGAAAGATGTAAGTGAACCTCAATCGAGGTACAGAACACCATGGGCAGCTCACGAATGCTTGCCTAAGCAGCAGTTACATAAACATGGACCTGTATGGCCACGAATCACTTCTGGATGGACATGAGACACTAACTTCTTATCAGAATCTAAATCAAAACGGAATGAGTGTGGCTAAAAGCTAATTGCAGATCTCTTGCTTCTGTACATACTAGCTTTTCTTGCTAACAGCTAAGGGTGTATCTTGTGAAACTACGTGGGCCCAAACTCCCAGGACTAGGTTGACTGATATGTGTCCTTCACTGTTATCTTACAACCATATCTTGGATCTGTTATTGGGTTTGTTATTATTAACTGTTATCTTACAACCATATTCTGGTTTTCCTTTTTATTGTTCACTGCATACCAGGAGTCCGGTTTGAAACTGTGAGCCCTAGTGGACAGAATACTATAAAAAGCTGTGTAACTTGTTGTTGGGGGCCACATTCTGGTAGAGTGTCAGTCCCGATCGGTGGCCGGTCTCGATCGGTTACCTTGCCTCTCATTTGTCTCTTATTTGCTTCTCATTTTCAATAAAATTTATGTGTGACTGTCACTGGTTTTCGTAATACTCTATTTTAGCTGATGAGTGGATGCAACAATACCACTTTCACAACTTGAATATTTTGGCCATGTATCTATTATTTTTTAAGCATAAAAACCAGTTAATTATGGCAACGCTAGAAGAGAAGGTCAGCTGTTCCAAGGACCATCCTGGAGAACTGTCAAGTTCCTGGGCCTCTGCCGGCTGGCTCAGGATGCGCTGCCCTTCTGGAAGCACATGCCTGGAGTCACACAGACAGACACTCTACCACCCTTTATTCAGACCGAGCAATCTACCAGAGTCAGTACTCCTGTGGCACATATCTACAGGCAGTGGGAAAAAGAAAGTGTGAAAAGACTGTGGAATCAAAACAAGCCGAACTGACAGCTGAGTGAAAGCTAAGCTTCACTGGCTGTTATTATGTGTAGGCAACAAATTGAAACCACTTGGATTTCAATTTTCAAGATGATTCATCAGGAGTTTGTCATATTTAATTCTAAACCCAGCAGTGCTATTTTATGTGAGGAAGATGCTGAAAAGACTCAAATAATGAGCCATTAGGCAGTCAATGGAAAACTCCTGGGTACATAAAAACACAGTGATTGTGCCCTCTTTCTGATCCAAGAGGGTCAGGACTCACAACTGCAAACCTGAAGCCTCAAGGCTGTCTTGATGCACAATGGAAAAAGACACAACTCTTACACTTGTTCACACGCCACTCAACAGTCACTGAGAAACTACAGAGGGTTAAGTCTTGGGACACGCAGAGGGATGAAACTCCTGCCCGCAAAAAAGGTCACCACACCGAAAGAACTCTAACATCCAAAAAGGAACTGTCCCATGTGTGAACACATATGGAGAAGAGGGAACTGGGAGAAGGCAGCTGATGTCAGCAGAGGCTAGGAGGGCGGGGCAGGATGCACCTTGGAGCTCAGACTCTTCATCCCCATGGGCAGAAAGAGGATTTCAGCAGAAGGAATTACACCTGCAAGTGCACAGCAGCATGGAAAGGGATGTTTAAATTCAGAGAAAGACTAAGTTCCCAACAGCTGGAATATAAACTTCAAAAGAGAAAGCACTGGGCACACAGACCTGGAGGGATGGGGAAGAGGCAGCCGGCTTCCTGAGGGCCTTGCTGTCATTCAGAAGCACAGATTTTACCTGGCAGACACAGTCGCTCATGAAAACTTCCTGCTGGGAATTACCCATTAGACCAACATGCCAGAGACATCCCTCCATTCCCAAAAAGACTAACACTGCTACTTTCACAACAAAGTTAGAGTGGCAGTATATCCACGTAAAAAGGCAAGGAAAGCCTGGAACCAGGAACTCTGAACAACAGGATGTCACTTTCTACCGGAGATAACTCTTGAGTCTTCTCCAGAGATTTCGCCTCTGCAAAATAGGGTTGTTTAAAGGATTGAACGGGGGCTGGCACTGTGGCAAAGTGGGTAAAGCCAACATGTGCACTGCTGGCATCCTACATGGGCACCGGTTTGAGTCCTGGCTGCTCCACTTTCCCTGGTATGGCCTGGGAAAGCAATAGAAGATGGCCCAAAGTCCTCAGGCCCCTGTGAGAGACCTGAGCCTGGATCAAGGTGCAGCTATTTTAGACTAGGCCTCCATCTTGTAACCCAGGCCTGACCAGGCCCTGAACCCTAAGCCTAAAGCTCCTGAAAGAAGAAAAATAAATTCCCCATGCAATAAACACCCCTAGCAATAGCCAATCAGCAGATTGCAGGGAAATACCTAAAGTTCCAGGTGTCTTTTCCGGCAGTTAAGGTGACTGATAACATCCCGAAACCCAGCAGTTTGGCATGTACACCCTAGTGGCTCAGACCCTATACTTGAGCCAATCATTTTAAAAAGCATCAACCCCAAAAGCCATCCAACCACCTTTACAACCAGGTCCATTCCTGCCACTGGATGCACTAAGCAATTTTAAGAGATATTCTTTGAATTTCCTGCAGAATGAGATGATTTGCTGAATGCTGCTACAATGTATAGAATGTCTCTGAAAACCCTATAAAAACCCCATTAACTGCAAAGTCAGAGATCTCGATCAGACCCACTGCATCGGTGACGGTTGAGAGTCCAGGCCCGGACCTGCAATAAAACTCTCGTGTGTTTTACAGCAGTATTGGCTCCTTGGTAGTCTTTGGGGACAATCAAACCAGGCACAACATCTGCACCTGCATGGGAGACCAGGAAGAAGCTCCTGGCTCCTGGCTTCAGCTATTGTGGCCATTTGGGAAGTGAACCCCTGGATGAAAGACCTCTCTCTGTCTCTGCCTCTGTAATTCTGCCTTTCAAATAAATAAATAAATAAAAGAAAGCTCACTTTAAAACAACAAATAAATAAAGGATCAAATGGCAGCATGAATGTGGAAAGTACTTTAGGATAGCCAAGTGCCTTTTTAGCGGTACTTTTATGTTTCTACTGTCCATTGATAACTCCCATAAGCAAGTCCTTAGACTGACTGTTGTTGCTTTAATCCCCACCCTGACAATTTCCTAGTACAAGACACAGAACAGCCTCTACTCAGTCACAGTGAAATCTGGTCACACACTGCACTTCTTCCTTCTCTAGAGTCAGGCAACTTTTCATGCCTGGAATTCTAAACAGTAAAAGTTTAACATTATCTCAATGCCTTGGAGGTGGGGGGCAGTATATATGACAGCCAAGGTGGTATTTCTATGCCTTTTTCACGGTGAGAGCCCTCTGTCTGGAAGGCTCTTTCCCCAGGAATCTAAATGATAACAAAATATGCCTCTAAGTATAATATACCAAATATGCAGCTAATAATGGTGATAGTGCCTGTAGGAAATTTTCCTGGGTTGTGATTGGTTTATTCATTCTTCCTCTTCTGTTAAATAAAAATTGATGAATGAATGCCACAAGTGGAACATTTTCGTATATTACATGTACTTGGAAGTTCTCAGGCATATTTCGGGTGACTGAGACAGCTAGAACTTTGATAAACACATAAAATTATTTACAATCCATATTAGACCATGATAGGAGGAATTCTACCTCAGTAACACATGGATCAGTGCCCAAATAAGATGCAATGCAGGTCACGGTCACGGTGGCTTCACCCGTTACAGCACAATGCCTGGCCCCACACAGTGGATTTGAAATTCTATATATTTGCTCTTAAAGTGGTGGTTTTCTTCAAGTGATCCACTACAAAGAGGGAATCACTTCCCAATGCTCACGATGTAAACCTGCAGGGCTATGACTTTCCAGAGGCAACTGTAACACTCTGTGTCCACAAAAGAAAGTACATCTAGTTCAGGGCCCTCTTAGGTCCTTTCACTCAAAATGAACCATAAATTACAGAAAGGCTGTCTGAAGCCTGTGGCAATCACGAACAACACGCTTCAGCATTTCATCTGTGCCATCAGTACTCTCACTCTCTCTGACCATAAAAGAGAGAGCGCAGCGTGGCTCAGAGTATTGCACTGCCTCTCTCCTGAAATGCACTGGGCCCCCTTCATTTTGGGCAGTGAGTTAAAAAAAGGTTCTCCATTTAGCATCTCTGGCTGCTTGAGCCCTTTCTAACTAAGAACTTAGTAGACAATCATGAACTAAGTGAAAGCAGAGTTAGGGGGAAGAAACAGCATTCTCAATAAATATTAAAAACCCTACCTTTGACTGCTACCTGGAGCAGTCATGTAACACAGAGCACATGTAACACAGAACAGGCGAGCACAGCGTGCCTGCCATATGGAAGCTTTCTGGAGATAAAGCGAGACATGTGTTTTGACTGTTTGAGAAAAGCTTGAACTCTGCTCATTAATAAAGTAGAAACCATAAGGACTCACCCTGTAAAGAGGATGACACTTGTCCGTGAAACACGGAGCCAATCGGGCATAGATCTGCAGGCTGTAGTAATATGCTGCCAGCTGCAGTGACAAAGCCGAGTGTGACTGCTTTTCAAAGCACTTGTTAGCATCTAACACCTAGGAGGCAAAGGACAAAATTCAGGAAGAGCATTATAAATCATTACATCTCCAGTCATTTCTGCAGGACTTTGGTACAAAAATTCCATCATATCAACTCAAGTACAACTTCAACTTAAAATAACTCTATGGGACCAGCACTGTGGCACAGTGGGCTAAGCCTCCACCTGGAGCACCGGCATCCTACAGGGTGCAGGTTCGTGTCCCAGCTGCTCCTCTTCCCTGCTATGGCCTAGGAAATCAATAGAAGATGGCCCAAGTGTTTGGGTCCCTGCACCCACATGGGAAACCTGGAGGAGGCTCCTGGCTCCTGGCTTTGGATCTGCATAGCTCTGGCTGTTGCAGCTATTAGGGGAGTGAACCAGCAGGTGGAAGATCTCTTTTTCTGTCTCTCTCTATCTGTAACTCTACCTTTCAAATAAATAAATAAAATCTTTAAAAAAAGTAAAAAAGTAATCAACTATACTGAAATTCAAACACTTTATAAAGGTGGATCCTATGTGTGTAAAACTGGATTAAAGATCCGCATTTAAGCTATCACTGCAGTCTTCCTTCCTGGATACCAACCAGTATCTTTCAGGATCTAAGAACTAGGCAAAGGAAACGTGAACAATAAACAATTTTACTAATTAAAACCTTTAGTACAGATTGTTGGTTTACTCATTTTTAATTTCTTCTTGATAATAAGGGTAAACTCACCTGTGGTAAGGCAAGGAGATAAGCAAGAGCCAAGGTCATGTCATTTGGCAAAGCATCACTTGCTAGTTGTAACAGAACTGAAAACAGAAGGGAAAAAAGCATAATTTTGCTTGGTGATCTACAACACATTACAGTCACTGGAAGTCAAGTGTCTCTATGATTTCAACAGATAATGAGCTCCAGAAGACTCCTGAAAGCCCTTCGTGAAGTCTATTCAACACCATCTAAACAAAGATCCGATTGAACTAGGTTAAGTAGTGACTTTGCCCTAACTGGGAGGGGCACTGCTGACCCTTACTTACAGGTGAGAAAATCCTGGCGGGGCTGCAGCCAAGTACAAGCATAACACCTCACTGGGCTGGCTTCTTAAAGCCGGGTCTCTTGGTTTGAAAACCAGGCTGTGCTATAAAAGTATGCATATCAATGATCACTAATGAGGAGACTGATCATAATGTATACTAAACATCAGAGCAATAAAACAGCTCTGTGCCTGCAAATTTAGGACACATCTTTTGACTACGTAGTGAGGACATGATGTTGTTTCTTCCAACAGCCTTCTTCATCACACTTCACAAAAAGAAAATCAGACTCTCCTTTTGTCTGTCTTAAAAAATCCCAACAATTAACAACTCTTCCATAAAAAAATTGCTACCTAAGCAACAAACTGCCAATGTCATTGCTTTAACAGAGAGTACACTGTCAACTGAGTATTTATATACAGTTTGTTTTAATGAGGATGTATTCTATTAATTTAGGGTCTTGTCACAAACACCAGATAATCTTATATAATCACAATGTAAATCCTTTATTTTTTAAAAGCACAGACTCCTTCCATCTGCAGTGCTGGCACACTGGGTTCTAGTCCCGGTCAGGGCGCCGGATTCTGTCCCGGTTGCCCCTCTTCCAGGCCAACTCTCTGCTGTGGCCTGGGAAGGCAGTGGAGGATGGCCCAAGTGCTTGGGCCCTGCACCCCATGGGAGACCAGGAGAAGCACCTGGCTCCTGCCTTCGGATCAGCACAGTGCGCCAGCCACAGCGCGCCGGCCATGGCAGCCATTGGAGGGTGAACTAACAGCAAAGGAAGACCTTTCTCTCTGTCTCTCACTGTCCACTCTGTCAAAAAAAAAAAAAAAGCACAGACTCACTCTGAGCCACACTAATGAAGGTGAACTGTATAGGAATAACCTAATGATAGTGATATTGGAGGTTGGAAATGCACCACATGATTTTTTTCCCCCAGAAGATCTACTTTACTTACATTAATATTTAAGCCATTTGTACAAGTTGAGTTTAGCCAACAGTCTGGGCAGCGGGCATGGTGGGCGAAACATCAAAGGCAGACCTACATCTCAATACTTCCTGTGGATAATACATATGAAAAAAATACTGTGGCCCTACAATGTTCTCTAAATATTCAATATCTACCTGTTCTCCAAACAAACCTATGTACCACCAGCCAGCCTTCAGCCTCCCAAGGAATCTTACAGCTTCAGGCACATATTTTAATGAAAAAATATTCATTCTAAAACCCACCTCCAAATTCATATTTTTATTCAACATCAGTGAGAACTATCTCTGAACCAGACATTGCCCTGTGATAAGAATCAGAGTCTCCACCCTTTGGGAAAAAAAACAGACCAGGGCAAGAGAAAGCCTGAGTGAATAACTTGCACAAACTATTACGAGAGCAAAGAAGTATAAATATTGGTGAATAAATCCTAAAAGATGAATGAGCTGAGCAATAGATTTTGAAAAACAGAAGATAAAATAAAAGAAATCATGTAAGTTTAATCTGCTGAAAATCCTACTGGAGCACAATTGCACAATTTACTTGCAGTCCAGAAATCATATACTACAAACACACACACACACACACACAGACAAAACCCCAGGGCAGTTGCTTTGACTTGTGTCTGCGTGATACATTCTATCATTCAAAACGTGCCCACTAAGCCTCCAGACCTTTATTTTGAGATGAGGAAATACAACTGCTTCACATGCTCATAATTCATTATTGCTAATTCTCTTCCTTATGTCTTTCCTAAAGTGACCTTCAGTTGCACTTCATTTCTTTTCTTCGTTCTAATTTTTTATGCACAAAAGAAATTTCCTTTCTTTATGCACAAAAAAGGGACAATTTTCAAACACGTATATTTGAACCCGCTCATCACAATTAGCTTTTTCTCTTCAAAGGAACCCCTCAGGAGCCCTTACATCAGGAATGTGGCTGCTTCTCCAGCTAGCAAAGAAGCTACCATTGTGGCTGGAGAAACTTCCATGTGCTGAAAGCTATGACAAAAACTGCCCTCAGAGCTTTGCCTAAAGGGTCATCATTGCTATCTTTCATTAAGCAGTGAAAAATGTTACCCTAAAATACAAGTATTTGCTCCAAATTGATAATACCCACATAGATTTCATATTTACAAACTGTGTGAAACATGTTAAAATCCTGGCAATCCCTAAAGAGAGCAAGCAATTTGCCAGTGAGAATGACTTTGACAAGCAAAACAATCACCCCAGAGCCCAGACCCTGAACCACCTCCTCTATCTTGGCTCCTAACACTCCCAGAGACAATCACCCTCTGGTCTCATCACCCCAGCGCAGGTACTGAGCAAGCAGAGACTACCCTCTTCGAAATCGAAGCCTGCTACAATTATCCATGGTCTTCCATCTAAAAAACTTGCCCCCACTTTTCCCCATGCTTTCCCAGTATATCTCTGCCTCTGGACTGCCCAAGGTGCTTCCATACACGTGCTGTGATGTGCTTCCTGTTTCCAGGGAACTGTGAACACCCCTTCTTCCCTTCAGGAACATCCATTTCCATGTCCATGCTGCTTGACCATACCTGAATGAAACCAAAACCCCAGAACACTGTGGAACAGCAACTCAAAAAATATCTATAAATATACACTGAATCTCTGGACTATAAAACCAGGCAGAATGATATAGCAGGAAGGTACCATCCAAAGAATCACAAAGTCCTGGGATCAAAGCTCAGGGCCACCAGTGATTGACTGCATTACCTGATTTACAGAATTCCAAATGTTCTGGACTTTAGAAGGCTGTATGTTCCTAAATATTGTATACACATTATGGTGTACATTATTATATATTACATGATCCTCTCCCTCAGCAAGGGCCAGAAACACTCAGTAATTAAAGACATAATATTTCTGCTGCAAAATATTTGAATACTTAACGACATAGGTAAAGACTAAGCAGTTTCATGTCAGTTAAATTTTTGATGCCGAGTTACAGTAATTCCTTTTAGTTTTCAAAGCACTTTGGATTTGGGATCTGAGTACTATTCCTCACACATATAAACTAGGATTACAGTGTACAAACTACACGACTTGTCTCTAACATAAAAAAACACCTAGTAGGTCCCCTTCCTCCCACTATAAACTACAGGTTTGAGGAAGTACATAATTTTCTTCATTTAGAACATGTTCTGATTTCCTTCGGAAAATGATTGATAATAGATACTTTTATTAACAACTACCCGTGGTAGTGGAGGCAATTACTTCCATTACATTTAAATCATGATTATTAACGAACAACTGCATTTAGGCACCAAAGCGAACGTCTTTAAGAAACAGCAGACAGCAAACAGCCATACCACCCTGAAGGCCCCTGATCTTGTCTGATATTGGAAGCTAAGCAGGGTCGGGCTTGGTTAGTACTTGGATGGGAGACGCAGCAGATACATAGCCACACCTGACTGATGCCTGCCTGCTACATATATACACAGCTGCTTCTCACTGAGCACCCAGCAATCATCTGAATACCTCACAACCCCTCTGTGGAAGAAGTTAGCTGTTTTCTTCAAATTATTAAAGAAGTTTAACGGCACAACAAATTCTTCTTTCCTTATCAAAGAGGTTTAAAGGCACAACAAGTTCTTCTTTCCTATTTGCATTGTGCCAATACACACAGAAATCATGGCAGTCTTGGGGAAGAACATACTGCTCCCTTTATGCTAGCAATTCTAACCAACTCAACGGCGCTACTTTCTTAGACTTCTTTAATGAGTACTCTGCCTGCCGCATCCATCCCCCTGACACCAGGTCTTGCCCCAAGTCCCTCTGTCCCATGTCCCCACTGACAGCTGTCTCAAAGGTGACCAAATCCAACAGTCTGTTCTCCTCTTCCTCAGATCTCATGACAGCGATAGGCACTCCGGAAACAGTCCCTGTCTGTCGGTGGGCTGCCTGCATCTCTCCCCTAATGACCTTTCCTGTGAGCCACGAGATTTCTCCCTCCACCTTGACGGTTCAACACCCACACTCACATATTTCAGCACTATCGCCTCATCACACTTTACATTTTCCCCTCTGCAGACCTTACTACAATCTTTATTCAAATTTGTACCTCGGTCTGTTTTCCCAGTATTTTTCTTCAGGCATGATCCATATCACAAAACTTGCATTAGCGACAGCTGCACACCGCTGTTCGATTATTACCCCAAATTAGTCATTCTTTACTCTTCCGCTGTTTCTGAAAAAGTACACTATTCTCTCAATAAGTCAAACTTAGAACCCCAAAGTCATCTTGAACTCGACCCTTGTCTGCTCCAAGCACTCAGACCATTATTAACTTGCTGAATCACTTCCAAAATTTCACATATACTTTGTATTTCCATTTCCACAGACTCCAGTTTTGGCTTTCATAGTTTAAAATCTAGACTTTTTCCAACAACCTCTCAATTCATTTCTGTTTCATGCATTCTGCCTTGCTTTTTCCAATTCCTTCTTAAAACAGCAGTTTCATATAAATTTTCATTAAACACTGTGTAATCATGTCACGTCCCAAGTTGAAAAGAAACACCTTTATTGGTTTCCCTTTCCCTAATTCATAAAAATTAAAATTTTTATTTGCCATTCAAGATTCCCATAAATATTAATTTACGGTTTTAATTGTTATTATTCCCTCCCCATACACCATCCCAATTAGTCTGACATTCAAACTCTTTTCCTATGCTCATGCTGTTTTTATAAAACAATAAAATTACTATAAAATAAAAATTTCTGTAACTTAACATCTGCTCTGATAAGCCAGACATGAAACAGATGCTTTA